GTAACCCTTAACATTAACAAAATATTTCAATTTTACATTTCACATATAGGTCACTGTAATACTGAGCATTGCAAACCAGAACATTCTAACTGTAATTGCACCTAAACTCTGCTTTTATCTAACAGTGATGGATTGTGATGGGGACTTGGCCCATGTTCCAAAGGCAGAGTTTCCATGCTGAGTCCTAAAGCAAACTTATTTTGATTTGAATTCCTATATGCCTAATCCTTCAGTCAGTTTTCCCAATTCTACTCATTTTTTTCTTAGCATTATAGAGTCTCATACAGAATGTGTGCTCTTGGGAAAAGAACATTTTCCACCTGTACCTCCAGATGTTAGGATTTGATGTGCTGTGTAACATGACTACATTCACTAGATATCAATAAAGTGTTTTCATGTACATATAAACATGACAAAATATTTCTCCTGTAGCAGGCAAGGGAGCGTTCAGTTGGACAAATAATCATTTAATTAGGAATTGAAACATAAAAATACAAGTATATAGCATTTCAAAGTGATTAAAAGAGATAACTTTTTGTAGCACCTTTGTTTCTAACTGGCTTATGAAAGTTTGAACAGTGACAGAGTAATGGCATAATGGCTGATTCAAAGCCTTGGCAGATGGCTTCAACAGGTAGCCTTTGTGTTTCCTTTGAAGTCCAGATTCTCTTGCCCTTGTTGGTTTTGAGTTCAGAAAGCTGATCTGACTGTAGAAGAGTTGTAAACTTTGCATAATACAGGTTGTAGATACAATGTTTTTCATTTGGAAGAAATCAGTTCCTATTAGTTTGTTAAAGAATATATTATCAACTCTTATTCCTCTTTGTGATGCTATGATTACTGAACTGTTAACATCACCATATTTAAATCAGCACATCAGGAATCTTAGACTAACATGCTAGGCACAAGTGCATTCAATAGTGTTAATGACAATAATAAGCAAGGGATCCTTGCCTGAAGATGAGAATAAACAAACAGGTTTGAGGGTAAAGTCCTGAAATCAAGAGCAGACCTGCACATTGATGACAGAGGTGGAGCTGAATTCAGACTTGTGCTCCAGGCACTGCCTTAGCCACAAAACACTGCAGTCTCCCATGACTGCTAGATTCCAAGGACACTGGCATTCATGCATTTGGTATTCAGTTTCACCACCTTCTGTAATTAACATGAAGTGTTAGTTTTTTTGTTTATCATAAGGACATACCTTATCACCTGGAACAAGCAACTGGAAGCTGCCCCTAAAAAGAAACAACTATGCTAAAAACAGTTCTAATAGCCTTTTTGAAGTCATGCTACTATGAAGTGGAAAAAAATGGAATTATTTTTGTAATTTTTGGTGTCAGTCAGGAACAACTGAGATGCTAGTGCCCAAATCTGGACACATCAAAGGAAAAAGGGTTTTGTTTTTTTTTCTTTTTTCTTCTTAAAAAATAATAATAATAATAATTAATTCTCTTTCTAATTGCAGCTCCAGCTAGAAAAACAGAAGGGAGAAATTCTCGGAGTAGTGATTGTGGAATCTGGATGGGGATCCATTCTACCCACTGTTATCCTGGCAAACATGATGAATGGAGGCCCTGCAGCCCGTTCAGGAAAACTAAGCATTGGAGACCAGATTATGTCTATTAATGGGACCAGCTTAGTTGGTCTCCCTCTTGCAACATGCCAAGGGATCATAAAGGTACCCCAAACTTGCCTCTATAAGCTGTAAAGTGTGAACTAGCAGAGATATGATACTCTGACAAGCAACCCTGTAGATGTCTAGCAGATATGATTTTATGTATCACTATGAGAAATAAGGAATCTGTCACTAACAAAATGTAAACTTGGAAACAGAAGTTCAGAGGTGATAATGTACAGAAAGTTAGAGCTGGAAAATTTGGCTATACCTCTGTTACTGGACTGTAGCAAACAAGGCCATGTGTGAAAAACCTGTCCAGCATAATTATCTTTAAGTTCCATGCTTCCCCACAGACTCCAAATTAAAATCTGAATATTGAAATCTACAATGCTCTTGAGCTCTATGTAGATGAATTCACAGGAGGCTGAATGGGAACCTGGTAAACTGTAGGATAGACCAAGTAAATGTATGAAGATTCCTCAGACACGATGCAATCTCGGGATGCATTACCTTTAAGTATTGAGATGAAATCTAATATCTGTTCAAATATAACTAAGATCAGCAGCAGGTTAATTAGCCAGAGATTGGTAAAGGGCAGGTAGTAGCCAATTTTAGTATTTCTTGATTTGAAAGACTTTATGGTAATTAAAGCTAAGGCTTTGATGGGTATTGCTGGGCCAAACAGCTTAGGAAATAGAGTATGTTAATGAAATAATAGGTTAACGACAGACTTCTGTTAACTCCAGCTGTTGTCTCCCAAATCAACCAATTTACCATTTTACAGTCTTGCAATTAGGAAACTTAATGAAAGATCAAATTAAGATCTCTTTGAGAAATACTATCTTTTGGGATATTTTACAGGGTCTCAAGAATCAGACACAAGTCAAACTGAACATTGTCAGCTGCCCTCCCGTCACTACTGTACTCATAAAACGTCCAGACTTGAAATACCAGTTGGGCTTCAGCGTACAGAATGGAATTGTAAGTTTCTGTGTTCAGTATCTATATTTTCCTGAAGAAGAAATACACTGAAATATTGAAAAATTCCTTGCACGTGCCCCTATCTCAAAATCTATAGATTTGGAGAACTTCTTCCTGGTTAGTGTATAAGTTTGCAGACACTTGCTGGGCCTGCTGCAGGAGACCTTCATGTTGCATTCATCTCAAGCTAGATGTGTATTACATACGTATATATGGGCATAAGTCTGTTCACGGAAAATTATCATCAACTTCAATGATTTGTTAATTAGTTTTTGGAGGCTGGATATGTCCATGTTTGTCAATAGTCTCTACCAGCTAATGCCTTCACAGCTTCTCTACCTGGAGCTTCTACACAGAACCAAAACAGTTGTTAATTTATTTTGTATTCTCTTTTAATGAATAGCAAGTTAACTCATATTGATATATACCTACATTCCAAGACCTCAGTTTTTATACTCTGATTCATTAATTAATCAAAACCTTGCAATTAACTCTGATAACATATTGGAAATAAACAACACCAAAAGAAGTGCTGCTATAGTTCAGGTTGTTTGGTGCAATATCTGGATCAGCTAATATATATACGATTCTGTCATCAGTGTGCCTGAGTTGCAAGGAAAGCAGTTATACTGAAACAGATTTTTGCAATTCCAACTTTCTAATCTTAGCTCTGATTCCCTTTTTTTTTTTTTTTTTTTTTCTTTCAGCACAGTCTCACTAAGGCTTTAATTTTTCTTCTACTATGTAGAATTTATTTGGATTATATGGTAGTGGACTGCATCCTGAAAAGCAGACACAGGAATACAATTGTGACTGCCTCTGGTTAAAGCTAAGCCTCTCTCTCACTACAAGTTTAAAAAAGAAAAAAGGAACTGTGGCCTAGGTATCCCTTTCCCTTCTCTGTATGCAGCAGTTTCCTTGCAACAACAGTAAACAGGAGAACAGGTGTGACAAGTAACACTCACCCAGTGCAGCTCAGGGTTCTTTTCTCATAGCTCTTCTTTCCCAAGCCATTTTCTGGTACAAAGCAAACTTCAGGGCACTGTTAGCTCAGGTAGCCACCCATTGTTTTTGAGGGCTGATACAGCATTAAGGACCGCCTGCAATGCAGGACCATCACCTTTTCCTCTTCTTTCAGTCTATAAAAATAAAATAAAATCAGGCTATCCACACAGAAAAGTGCATTAGAAAGGGACCATGGGCTGTGGTTTCCTGTTCTGTGAAACTCATTGATTGAATTTGCCAGATTTGTTTGTCACCCTTGAAAAGAGTAGCAGGTCCATGTAAAAGATACTGTTTACGAGATGTACTATGCTTTGGGAAGCAGGTGGCTCATTAGTGCATTCTCAGCTGTACCAGCTATTGCTGAGAAATTATTGTACTGAAGTTTTATGCGTTCCTACCTAAGATCACATATTGTTGTGTGGTCACAGCAGACTGGTGTGAACAATGTTACTACAAGGCTTTATCCAGCTGGAAATACTCTGATGTGATACCTCCCCCCAGGCTGATGTCCTTTAGAAGCATGGGTTTAAAGTATTTATGACTTGGCATTAATGCTCTACTACCTGAGTAGACAGAAGTCTGCAAAAACAAAAATACAGAAAAATCAATCGTAGTATTTTTGTCCTCCTTTGCACACCTTTAAACCTGTTTCACCTATATACACATACGTTTAGAGGGTCTGGACACTACTGGCAGTGCACTCAGCATTAGCATTTCCCAAGTACTGCAATCTGATTTTCCAAGATTCCACAGAGGATGCTGAGACCAGCATGTTGTATGAGGCAGAAATTTATTTCCCAATTGCCATCCTTGAGAAGTCCAGTATGTACAGCTGGTGCAATGATAAAAAGAGAAAATACATTTAAGGAACAATGAGCAGTACTACGGTGCATTTATCACCTCTTTTGGGAGGCCTGTCATAGTACTATCAGGGATAGGTCAGGGCTGCAGGAAAAGAATCTGGCCAAGGCAGAGTAAAAGAAACATGTGCTTGCAGGGTGCTAACAGAGTCTGAGAGACAATCCAGTCATCAAATTGTCCCATCTGATCATCTCTTGTATACTTGGAGCCTCACTCCTTCTGCACACATTGGTTGTTTCCTTTCATAGTGTGTTCTCTCCATCTACTGGACATTTGTTGCATTCACCACTGTGGATGGTCACAAATCACTATTTTTACATTAGTAACATTTAGATGACATCCAACAGAAAGTTTACCAAATTCAGCATAGAAACCTTTTATAGAAAACAAAGAAGAAAGGCTTGTGAAATACATTCCACTTATGAAGCGTCTGTGTTTGGATATAAAAGCCAATGAACAAAAAGAAGAGCTTAATATAAATATATTAAATATATAAAATAGCAGCTTTGTTAGGCTGCTATGTAGACTGGTTTCTGCTGTAATTTCTTGCTCAAATAAAAATTTCCCTTACTTCAGGTAACATTTGAAAATATGACTTTGCAAAATATATTTTCCTGGCAGTTCAACACTTAACTTTTAAAAAACATTCTTCTAAAAGCTAACAATTGTTATAAAACATGATGGGAAACAACATCCTGATCTTTTGTTTGGCTTAGCATTAGCACAGTGAAGAAACAAATAGCTTGCCAGATCAGGTATAATTAGATCTCTCCTACTGCTGTGCAATTACCTCATTATGCATGCATCTGGTACTTCTGTTCCTCTTCTGATAACAGTTTTGTGGTGATTCCTTTTCAACCTGCCTATCTCATCTATGCAGAATGTACAGCTATTGCCTTTGTGAATAGCCCAGAAACAACCTGAACATACAGTAGTAGTATTTGATCTGGGATTTGTTTTTATAGGATATCAGGAAGATGCAGAGACTGGATTGCTGCAGGTGACTGCTTCAGTTTGTGTTCCATATATCTTAATTCATGTAAAGTCTGAATTTGTGCCTCAGGGAGCAGTAGAGGAACTAGCTTTTGGAAGTTTTAGTTAGGGAACAGCACAACTGCACAAATCTAGTGTTACATTTGCAGAATTGTTCTTTCACTGGTAATTGCAGATATTCTGCATGGCTCTGGAAAGCTTCTGCAGTAGCTTCATTACAAAACACTTACAAAAGAAAACTGAAATTTGAATTTTAAAACATTAGGAAAAAAACTAAAATATTGTGCATATACATGAAACAAGTGGCAGAAATGTTGTGTGTGTTGTGTGGGGAGGTGAATTAAAGCAACCTATCAGCCATCTTTTGAAAATTATTATGCCACATTTCTTGTAAAATTCATATGTAAAAACAAATCGACCTTTCACATCACATCATTTTCTTCTTTCCTTCATTAATGATAGAGCCACCAGTTGTAGTTCAACTGCTAATAATCTACCACTTTTCAGCAAACCCTGGGATGCTCATTCACTTCCTCTGAGAAATGTATCTACCCATCCCCAGTCCAGCAGAATTCTATCTAAAAATACAGTAAGATTAGGTGAAAGTTAACCAAACTGATAGTTAATTTTTGCTTTCTTGCCTTTGTTTATACTTGTGTAAACTTTTAAAAGAAAAAAACATATAGGGCTTAAATAGTGAACTATAGGTAGGAGATGATGAGAAACCTGGTTTAATAGGTTGTATTTAGGTATTTGCCCAGAGAAAACAGTTAATTTGTCTTGTACTGTACTACAGTCAATATTTTGATACACAATGGGCAGTTACAATAAAACTGATGGGATTGAAGTTTCACATGTGATTCACTGCAACTTGCCTAAGACACTACAGAATACACAACAGCTGAGTAGATTCAACTAGTATGGCTGATTTTTATTTTTTCTGTTTACAGAATAAATAGAGCACAGGCTCTTGCTTACAAGATCTGGATCAGTTATGCTTCATTTAATAATAGTTGCCATATTTCACAACTATGATAGCAAGGTAAACAGTCCTGGCCAAGTAGAATCTCATTTACTTAAGGTACTGCTCACCTTAAACTTGCCAGCCAAATATGTCTCACGTACGTGGGCTGGAGACTGAAGTCTCAAGCTGTTTTCAGTCAGTCACTCACAAATACAGGAGCCACATAAATCTGTGCTAGAAGTGCAATGCATTTCCTTACATCTGCACTCTGCCTCTAGCACAGCATGATCTGTGAAGTTAGTCAGAGCCACTTGAGATCTGCGTCTGTTCCTTTTTCTACCTCATTAAAATATCTAATGCTTACAAAAAGGAAGCTGAATCCTCTCCCTGGAGAGGGATCATGTTCTTGAATGAGAATAAGAGACCACTTCCTATGTCTGAGGCTGTTAGAAATTCACTAGTACTAAAAGCACTTTGAGTGCCCCAGAAGAAAAAAAATGCTCTAGATAGATACACAAGCCATTATCTTTTCCTTTATGCCAGTGGGGTTAAAGGCAACATTTCCATTTGCTCTGAAAGCTTTTATTTCAGCTGGTTGTATGGTCTATGTATTTTATTTTATAAAACGTATGTATAGGGTTTCCTTTGGCACATTCTGCTCTTGTCCTGTCACATGGCTTCATACAATCCCCAAAAGCACTGAACAAATTCCAACAGTAAGTTAAATGAGAAGCTTTGTATAGGAGTCAGGTGAAGATCTGTGCAATACAGCTTATCTTGTTAGGGCTATGATTAGAAGGTAGGCAACCTGTACAACACCACACTGAAATTCAAGATGTCAATTCTGTGAAAGGTCTTGATGGTGCCTCTAATCATTAGAGTCCATAAGAAGCAATTTAAGAGCCACTGTAGGCAAAGCCCAGCCCCTCATTATATAGCGGCTGCTGCAAAATAAATATCGCTGTAGGATAAACTTTTTCATAATGTTAAAAAGGTGGGTTTTATTTGTTTGTTTGCTTCATAATAAATGAAGATCTATATATTTTTCCTCCTCATATCAGACACCCTGAATTTGAGTAAGGTTTTCATTTCTCTTAGCCCTGATATTTGCAAAGAGGACTTCAAGGAAAACCAGTAGTCAAACACAAAAGATACTGTTCAACCACAATGTTTCACCCTCATTTTATGCTAGCTTGTCCATCTTCCCACGTACTATATTTGTTTCTGAATTAAATTATAAACATGCTGAGACATAAGCCATGTCTTATCATACTTACATTTAGCTCAGAGCAAACTGTAAGATCTCAACAAATCATTTTTGGCATATGATTATAACCATTGACAGTAACTGCAGAAGCAGCCATCACTGGGTGCTATTCCTGTAGGACTCATTTCTTTTTCTCCAAGAACAGATTTTTCTCAGTAAGCAATAGGTACATCTCAGCATAGTGAACTCTGCTCAATTTCAGAGATTCAAACTGTACGTCACCTGCCTTACGTGCTGCATCAGCTTAGGTCTTCTGAAACAATTGAGCAGGAATTTCCATCCAATACACATCTTTCTAGACTGACAGGAAGGCCCCATCATAGCACAGATGTTGCAGAGAAGACAGTTTTTTAATGAAGATCACCGTGCTGCATTGAGCTGTATTCCTTCTGTCTATACACAAAGCATTTTGTTACCTCAAAATCAATTCAAATACCAGTGACTGTTAAGGTTACTTAACTGATAAACATAATTCTTGCAGAATTATTTCCTACCATAGGAGGCATACAATTTAAAAAAACTCTGCGTTTGTCTTTACTGGTACCTGTGAACGCCAGCTGAAACAGTGGCCTGATTTGCCTTCTTTGTCCTATACTCTCTCTATTCAGCAGCACTATAAAACATGGAGAAAAGCGGTGGCTCAGGAGGGCAGACTGCCCTTTTCCAGCCTGCAGAGGTACAGAAAACAAGCTGTCATCACTCACTATTCAATTAGTTTGCTGATAACAGCCTGTAATAAGAATGTGCTCATTTAAGACCCCGCACCACCTTTCAATACAGAACACCTACATGTCGTCGTCCTTTCATTCAGCTTACATCAGTGTTTCCCCAGGATTAAGGATTACGGATTAAGCTTTATGTCAGTTTTTTCCATGTATATGAAAAGTTTGCTGTTGTAGATTAATTTGTATTCTAGTTGGTTTTTTTTACATCTGATTATTCAGAAAGAACAATGTGGTAATTTCAGAAAGAGTCCAGATGGTACAGTGAGAAATAGTTTTCAAAATAATCACTTTCTTATCCCAACAGTACGTAAAACTTCACTTTTCCCCATAACTCCACTTCTGCTGCTTCTGCCTGGCAGCTGGGCACATCCTTCTGCATGTTCACACGTTCCAGTCCAGAAGAACAAAAGTAAAAATGGTAATTTCCATAAATTTTGAAAAATGGTAAACCACTGATATCTTGTAGTACTGCTCATTGCTTTCTGCTAGTATCTTCTGAAGTCCCTATGGTGACACCTCTCACTATGGTGTACTAAAGCCTATTAACTGCTATATTTTGACATTTCTAATCTTTAATAAAGTTTTATCTTTTCTTGGCAGATTTGCAGCTTGATGCGAGGTGGAATAGCTGAGAGGGGAGGGGTCAGAGTGGGTCATCGTATTATTGAGATCAATGGACAGAGTGTTGTTGCAACTGCTCATGAGAAGATAGTACAAGCACTGTCTAATTCAGTGGGAGAGGTAAGAAAAGAATTAATCTTCAATTTTTATCAAAGACTTAAAACTGTCAAAAAATATCAGTTGAAAAATGTCTTAACATAGTATTAAAACCATCAAGTCAGTAAATTGGAATTGAGCATTGATAACAATTAACAAAACATCTTTGAACACTTAGATGTATGTTCAGTATGTTTTTACACTCAAGAGTTCAAGAGTTCGTGGCATGATTCTGAACCTCAGCCTGCTGTTTGAATAAAACCAGTCAGCTAAAAGAAGGAATCAATTAAGCGTGTTAGCTATGTCTCTTAACTTCTGACTACAGCATCTGCTGTAAAAATAAATCAATGTTCAAAGAACTGAGATTAAAATTTATATGTATTTTAATTTACTTTGACGGAACATTTCCAACTTACCTTGGGAATAAAGACATCTCTCTGCAGTACTTTTAGAGAAATCATCAATGGATGAACAAGATCCTCTGGTTTATCAAAATCTACTGAATTTAGAGTAGGATCATACACAACCCTGGTCAGATCTTCCACTACCTCCTTTGCAAAAAAATCGGAGGCTAACTTCTTTTCCTGTGGAAAATGGTACTTGAAAAAGAATTCAGAGTACATGCAGTACATGCATGTTGACAGAAACAAAGCTACGTAGATTTCAAGAGAACTTCCATGTCTTTGTGGTACCTCTTTGCTGCACAAAAGCTCTCTAAACAAGAGAGCATTATGAAACTTTTTTTTTCTTTTTTCACCATGAAGAGACTGAGCAGACTGAACAGTTAGTAAAGTACACAGTTCATAGCCTCATACAGTCTGATAGCTACTTTACAGGTGCTAGCAAGTTTCTGTACAACTGATTACCTGATACCCTCTGATGCTTACCACAATTCTCTTTGTAAAAACAAATATGCTAGCTATGCAAGAATGTGGTTTCCTAATCCCTGGATTGGCATTTAAGTATCAGGTGATAAAGATCAAATTTTGTGTTCAAACATTTATCAATCAGGAGATTGATGAATAAAATAATAATTAAAAAAAAAAAAGACAAATAAAATGACCCTCAAATTTGGGAGCAAAGTTTTAGAAAATGCAAGTTCAGTTAACATTTGAGCAGCAGATTCAATTTTCAGAAAAGTTTGTGCTGCCTTTTTTTTTTTTTTTTTTAATGGCTGTAATTGGAGTAGAGTATAACAACAAAAAGTATTTAAATATCTTCTTAGCTATATGAGGGGACTTCCTGTCAGCTGTCATTGAAAAAAATAAAATGCAGCAAAACAGCTTCTCACATCCAGAGAACTTGTAACAAGAACCTTTGGCAACATTCACATCAGTAGGAACAAATGGGAGAGACAAACTGGGCCTTATGAATTACTTAAAACTAGTAGAAAGTAACTCTGTTAATTTTTGTGCAAATCAATCAACAGATTCATATGAAGACTATGCCAGCTGCCATGTTCAGGCTTCTAACTGGGCAAGAAACTCCCCTATACATCTAGCATGCGACTCTCTTGCAGGAAAATGATTAAATGGTTCCATCAAAGCCGAATGAATTAATGATTCCATCAAAGCCCTCATAGCTGAAGAGAATTTTGTATTTTGTACAAATGAAAGGCTTTGAAGCTGCCATGAGGACTCCGAAACAAGGAACAGACGGGTGTCTGTCTTTCCTCTCCTTTTTATTTCTTTGCCAAAAAGCGATGAGAAGGATGGTCAAGGACAATAATCACTGACACAAAATCTTTGTAAATCATTCAAGTATTTTGCAACATCTTCTAAACTCTTTTCTCATAAAACTTAAAACATATTTATTTGTAACCTTTATGTGGAGTGATGTATGTATGTCTGTCCTGTTTGATAACACGATGAATGTGAAAACTTGATGAATGAGACTACAGGAAATGGCAAAGATAAGCAATTAGAGAAAACTGTGGCTGCCTGAAGCTATAAAAAAGAATCCCAGTCCATAAAGTGGTCCGAGAGCATTGTGTAATCTTAAAACTGGTGCTGAATAGATGGTATTTCAGTGGAAAGGAATGTGTGCAGTTAAACCTTTTAGATTCTAATGTAAAGAAAACCACTGTAGTACTTGGTATTGTTATGACAAGTGTAACCTGTTTGGCAAGGTGTGAACATAAACATGTAACAAGTGTTTCAAATGCTAAATAAAGAATAATTGCCACAAGATAAAAATCAAAATATTTATTTAGATACATATTTATTTTTAATGCTTGTGATTTTTATGATTTAACTGAGTGATTTCATGGATGACTTATTGCACAGTTTGTGTAATGTATGTGTTGAGCTGTTTTTTTTCTTCTAATTTTTGCATATTCTTTGTTAATATGAGCTCAAAATGGGAAAGCCATGCTTACCTGTTTTTTGTTTTTTTTTATAAAGCATTCTTATTCCTGAGGGCAATGTGTTCTGAATGTAAATTGTTTCAACAAATAACCTAGCACCATCAACAGTACTGGAATGTGTGTAGATTTAAAAAAAAAAAAAAAAAAAAAAAAAAGTAGTAAAGTTGTATTCTTTATGCGATAAATGTTAATTGGTGTAACTTTTTGTCTAGGTTTTTTTTTTGGGGGGGGGGAACGGGGTGCAGGGTGCAGAGGGGGCAAAGCCTTGAGGAAAATACACTGTGACTTAATAAGCCTTATCATGCAGTAACTGAAGAGCTTTAGATGACTGTACTTCAAGGAGTAGTGTGTTGCATGCAACTGACCTTAGGAAAGAATTAACCTATTATCACTAATAAATCTGAAATAACAAAGAAAGCACGCTTATTTTGTTTGTTCCACAAGTTTACATCGTAAAGAACTCAACCATCATTTAATTCTTCAACTAAGTGCAGTTGCAAAGGTCACAGATTGTTTTTTGAAGAGAATTTGTCTCTTGAGTTAGTAATTAATGTATCAGCATCATCTTTAGAGCTGCTGCTTTCCAACAGCATACCTTGTTGCCACTGGATGTCACTGTAAGTTCACATCAATATGGAAGCATGGTATACTTTCAAATGGATTATTCCATAAAAATTAAACTATTCATCTTCAGCTACATTCCTTTGTGACCTTTTCACAGGAGTCTGCCCAGCTCAGAATGACACAAATGAAAGCAGTATATGATTAAATCTCCAACAGAAACTGTAATGCTACTGACAAGCATTGCTGCAAAAAAATTAAAACTCTGAAACATCAGAACTTGTGGTAGGTTCTTTATGAGAACCTTGTGTTTAAGGCCTTTCCATTTTCCTCTGAGAGATCCAGGATGAAGCTTGCACTGGAAGAGCTGGTAGAGCTTTGTTCATGCTGGTAATCAAATTAGCGTCAACAATACTTACCTTTTCTTTTCCTAAGATAATTCTAATAAAAATGCGGCAGAGCCACAAGGAAATGTTTTAGTAATACAACTGTTCAAACTACTAACTGGAATAACAATTCTTTTTGCAAACATTCATGGCTCTGCTAAAGAAAAATCCATCTCATTTCCTATCAACTGATGTTTACAAGCTTAGAAAACCTTATTGGAAATGCAGAATTTCAGCAACTTCTCCCCTAATGCACCTTTTGGCCACAATTCACAGAGTACTTAAAATGTCAGTATTCAGTAGCATGTGCTGCTCCACTAATAACCTCATGACCATTGAAACAAAGTAAAAATAAACCACACCACAGCCTTCAAGTATTATTTAAAGGGGCAACACATTGCAGGGGTTCAGTGGGAAAGAATAATACAGCAGATCAGTTAGCCTGGCATGAAAGACACAGGAAAAATGAATTAGAAGCAGCACTTTGTGCATATCAATCACCTTTACAGTTCTATCCAAATCAGTTGTTGAAAAAGCAAAGTCCAGAAATACTTTTTATTAAAACACTGATAATAGTTAAAACACCTTGAGGTACATTAAATAAATACAACTTCTAAGTTGTACAGCCAGTCTGTGGTGGTTTTGCAATGGTTTTGAAGAAATGCTGGACAGCATCAGCAGCATTTCTATAAGTACAGTGAAATATATGGATTTCTGGTCGGGAAAACATTTGTTATGAGTTTACTAATAAATCAGTTACTTTTTTTTCAAAATTCAGGGCTGAAATTTACATTCAGAAAAACAGGTGTTCTCTTCCTGCTGTTGGAAAAAAAGTAGAATTCCAAAAGAAGACACTTTTTCCTTTTTAAGCCATCCACTACTTGCATTTCTCCCAGTCCTGGTTTCTTCCTTAATTCTGTCTGCTGCAATCACATACCTGTGAATATTATCAAAGGATGGTCTCCTGGCAAACTCCAATTAAACTGTGAGGCCTGTCCCGCTCTAAACTGCGAGTGATGTGGGACCTGCGTAAGAAGGCAACTGGAGAGCTCAGAGCACCACAACTCTGAAGATGAAGGTCTTCCTGACGTCGCTTTCTAGAGGTATTCACACTCAGCTGGGAACTTGTAATTACCTGTTCAAAAGGGCAGGAATGGAGAGGGAAAAAGTGGAGAAAACAGGGTAAATTTTTTTTTCCATTTAAAAGGTTTGGCCTCTGAACATAACATAAGTTACCAAGTGACGGAGCTCCATCAAAGGAGATGCATGTTATGCACCCACCCAGACTCTATCCCACTTCTGTTTTTACACCTGGTCATAGCTGGCCATTGGAAAGCAAAGCCAGACTCGAAAGGTATCAGGTGTTGCACCTGTACCATAGTATTAAATCAACAAAGTAGCAAACAAATACTTGTTTCTCTGTATAAGAGTGGAAAGGAAACCGGTGGAAAAGAAAACAGTTTTGCTTTATAAGAAATAAACGCAGGTCTGGAGTAAATTAAACTCATCTGTTTGTTTTAGGAGAAAGAGATGCTTTGGTGAAGGTAGAAGAGAACTAAAACCTTGCAGGCCTGATAAACATTTTGGAGTTAAGGAACAATCAGCCTGCTTCACAAATCTGAATTATAGAGCCTCTCCACCAAAATCCTGTCACTTACGTAGACTGCTGGGATGGTCTGGAGTTTTACTAAAGATTGCTGTTTTCTGGCTGAAAAAATACCTTTCCTGAAATGACTTCTTTGCTGTGAAAAAAAACCCACACATACGTCCCCTTGGAGCAAAGAGACATGCACTGGGTAAAAACTGTGCTATGAGTTTCTAGTTTTATGACCTACATAAACACCCAGGTTCCTTCACATTCCTGTTTTGTGAGAAATTATGCTGTTTTTTTTAAAGATATTGTTTTTGTTTTCAGCTTTCTAACCTGAGGATTTAATGGCCTACAAATACTGAATAGAAAAAAAAGGGTTAAAAGTTGATTCCATAATGTCACTCTAAGTATGTCAAGGTAGTACTCCTTTTCTACTAATGTAACTTGAGTTAAATGATAAAATGCTCCATCTTTGGTCTACTTCATAGTCAGCAAAAGGCAATCTTACAGCAAGATTGCAAATGGTGTGTGTTTCCTGATAAACTTTAAACTACTTCACATGCAGTTTAAATGTTATTACATCCTGTTTAAATACTTAGCAAATTTACCCCATTTAGGGATCAGCAAACTAATGCCACACATATTAAGTATCTCAGGAGGTAAAACCAGCAGACCCGGGTGTCCACCATTAATCATCAGTTCACATCTGTGGAAAGCCTTCTGTCAACCTGAACACAGTTAGTCATTCTGCTTTTCAAACCTGGCCATATAAAAGGAACTTCATTTCTATATCTATCACTCTGGTGACCGTAGTACCAAGAGGTGATTTATCACCTTCCTTCCCCCAAAATGATTTATTATTAGGCATGTATTAGATTATAAAAGTTGCTGCCTCTACTAACTCCTTTGTTTTACAATTCCTTCTAAGCCCTGCATCTATTTTGTTCTATCTTGTGGTGAGAAGATGTACTATTCTTTCATTTGGAAACGCACAAAATTATCAATTATTTTTCTTATAAATAGCAAGGATCATTATCATTCTTCTAGCCAGGTTTAAGGATAACTGCAATGTTCTGCTTCAATAGCTTGTGGTTCTACTTGCTTATCCACTCTTTCTTTTCTGCTAGTAGCTTATGCTGTACAGACACAGATGCCTGAAAAAAATAGACCCAAGTCAGTTCTGGAACTCATACCTCTGTATATGAACACAAATGGATGTATGGAATAGTATGTCCCAGGTGTAAAAAGACCTTGGAAACAGCAAGTTATGATTACCAATGTGTAAAATCACCCTGGAGATGGCAAGGGTATTACCAGTACTGGGCCTGGCTGAAGAATTTTCAATACATTTATGACTTCCTCAGTGTATAACACATTACCCCTTGATAAATGTTAGTTATTTCTTACTGAAGCTATGTTATTATAAAAGAATTTCTGTAATAATTTTTTGAAATATTTAAAAGTGTAAAAGCATTGCCATACAATATGTGTCTATTAGAGTTGAACAAATCTTTAGAACATTTGTGGCCTACCTGGTCTATAATATTGGCACTGAAGATGGCTTCTTCCATGTGTCTTTCATCAGATTTTATTACTGATCGTATACTGTTCACTACGTGACGTACTTCTGGAGGGAGATTACAGTTTGAATGTTCCAAAAATTTTGCCACTAAAATTTTTGTATCTTTATAGGCCTTAAGGTCCACTAAAGAGTGTGGTCGTTCTTTTGAGACTGTTTGCAAAGCCTTTGGCTTTAAGTGTAGATCAGTGTTCCTTGTATCCCTCTGTTTTCCAGTTGGTAGGAAACTGCTCAAAGAATGCTGACAAGCAGAGGCAGCCATATGAGAACCAGAAACAGGAACTAAAAAAGGGGGGGAAGAATATCTTTAAAGTAATAGTTTGATGGTTTTTTAAAGAAGAAGAAAAAAAGCAAGTCAAGAATTGCTACAAAAGGTTTTACTTTGTTTTTTTTGGTGTGTTTTTTTCCTGGAGATAGTAACAATATGTAATCAAGGAAATACTCCAAAAAATGGGTAATTTTAACCAGAAGTTGGGTTACAATTTACTCCCATGAGCAAGAAAGACTGCATTTAGGTGAGTGAGAGGTAATTAAAGTACTTCATAAATTTCAAACATTTTTGTTACATCTAATTTCAGGGATTTCAGTTGACATTAATGGTAAGGGGAAACATCAACTAATCAGTGTTATACATGTAACTTGCAATGTTTCAGCTTGCCTGACTTTAAGTACCTAGTTCCCCTTCTAGTTAGACCTCGCAAATAAGAACAGTGAATATGAGAGATCAGCAAGAAATAAAGACAGCAAAAACACTAAACTAAAATGGAGACTTCAGTCACAGCATTTATGATTTGTGATCAAAGTCTGCTTCCAAAAAAACTGCAACTGTAAAATGAGAAAATTTTGCATGCACACCTCATGCTTGGGTGTGGGAACAATCAATTTTCCCTTTTCACAGTATGTTGTGAGACAAACAAACCCAATCCACTACATTCAGTACAAAAACAGCAGTCTGTCAATAGGTGGGCTCTATAAACATGTGTAAATACGATTCCATTGGTGCTGTACATCATGCATGTATTGAGTGATTATTAAAGTGATTTTTACCTCACATTTTCTTGATCTTATTCTCTATATCAGAAGCTTATCTAATTATTCTTTTAAAAAAGAAACCCACCTGCTTTAGAAAACTGATCTCACCTGTTTCTAATGTGGCTGAAGATCCTGAATCTTGATGCTGTCTACATATAGGACTCCAGGTACAATGATCACCTTTAAACAAAGAGCCAAAAAGAGCACAATCAAGCCCTGTTATCTGTTGAAAGCAAGGAAAAAAAAACATTTGGATCTTTTATCACTACCTTTACTGAATGAATCTACTCAGATGAAATATTACTTGCAAAAAGTCCATCTGTGAAGAGAAGCTACTACGTACAGAAATGTCCTTTCAGTTATTCAATAAACACAGACAGAAAAATATAGTTCCTTGCTTGATGGCTTCCTCTCTGTTATGCAGCTCACATCCAACATATTTCAGGCTTAGATACTGAAGCTACAGAAGGCTCAGTGATTTCTAGGGGCAGAATTCAGACCACACTGTATTTCCTTGGTGAACATAGTTTATCTTTAAAATAAAATAAAATAAACAATGGAGAAACAGGAAAGATGTTTTTTTCCTATGAAAATAGTCTTTTGTTCAGTTCTGTTTTTTTGTTGTTGTTGTTGTTGTTTGTTTTTTTAATGAATATATTTTCATTCTTTGAAGAACAACTGCTATCCATCACAGATTAAACTGATGGGTAGGCTGACCACTATGGTTACAGCTGATCCAATTAATAATGAATGGTTACAGAGCATCTGAACACAACTCTAAACATAGTTGCCCTCTAATGAGAGTGTTTCTGTGATGCCAGCACAGATCAATGATCAGGAAATCACAATACACATCAGCACAGTCTTTGTGATCTCAAGCTTGTGACAGTCAAGGTGAAGTAGACTCTCCCATTTATGCTATGCCTATTTACATCTGTTTTCAGAATTGAAAACTATTTTAGACTTCTTAGCATAATAGGTTTTCTTCCATTTCTTCTGGGAAAGCCTGTCATGAAAAGCTGGCATAATCAGCTCTGGCAGAGAGAACAATTCAACAAAGGCAAACATGCTACAAACATAGAGAAGTAGTGAGAAATTAAGACATTATTACAGCTTTCACTTTCCACTGCACATTGCACTGGAGTCAGACAGATGGTTGTGAAATAGAGCACCAACTCAGCATGCACAGTAGGTGTAAGCTTTCTTTTAGCCTCTCCTGACTCACCATGACACATCTAAGCCTGCAAACTACCATAAGTGTGCTCCAAATCTTCCATGTCTGTCAGTGTTACTGGTGCCGTACATTAACTGCTGCACAGGCTTTATCTTGCCAAAACTGCAATATTACATAATGTATGGCCCACGGAATTAGGAGCATTTATTATACGTATCTATGTATTTAAAATCAAGCACAGAAGTACTAGAAGTATTACTAAGCATTTCAAAATTTTGCAGTAGAATCCATAGAGCAGCAGTCAGTCGTGAAAAACCCAGAAGCTGCCACAAGCAGCTGGTATGTGGTAAATTGTGCCACTTCCAATCTGAGTGATTTTCAAATGGATATGGATAACAAAAAGTAAAGTGAGGAAGGTGAGCAAAGTAGTGAAAAATTTCAGACAAAAATTTTGGTAACCTCCATTTTGCCAAAAATATTAATGTAATAAAGATGGAAATCAAATCTAAACTCAAATGCCTCTCAAACATTTCATTTTAAGGCATCTTCCACACACGGAGCAGCAAACTAGGCCAGCACAGACACGCCAAGTTACTCCCATAACCCCCCTTTGCCACATGTGTATCAGTATTTCTAGAACCATCTCTGCATTGTTATTAAAATCTTTGCCAAACCCAGTTAAATCTCTGTAATGTTCAACTCTTGTTCTCAGCTCATACAGACTAAAACTTGGAAATTAGTCGAAGTAATTCCCATAAGAAGAGTTAATTAAATAACGCCACTCCTCCAGAAGAGATGATGGATGTATTTAGGACATGTAAAAATAAAGGCAGAGCATCTGTTATGGCAGGTGTCCCAGAAGTCAGCTAGAGCACATAGATATGGCTGCCTACATTAATATCTCTGTCAAACACTACTCAAAGAGCATATGGAGCACAATATGGAAAACTTGCAGAGTGTAATCTAGAAGAGAAAGAGCTGTTCTTCTTGTGTTTGGCCCAGCAGAAAGGATTCTGAAATTCCTACTTACTGTCTGCACAACAGCTTCATAGAACCTATATATCCTAGCAGATTAAGTTTCATAAAATAAGCACAAACTTCTAGATTAAAGATTTACATTTCCTCAACAGCATGCTGAGGCCAGATTTCTAAAGTTAGTTCAGTCAATTACTGCGCTAGGCATGAGGTCTCTGAAATTCATAGGAAGAGAATAATGATGTAGAAAAAACCATAACAGTATCAACACTTCCACATAAAACTAGCTATATCAGCATTTTGTGCACTTTTTTTTTTTGAGGTAGTCAGTTCTTCCCTTAGATGCCTTAGAAACCCCAGTGAATGCTTCTGTATCAGCACAACCTGCCTAACAGCTTACAAAGCCTTCATCTTTGCTTTCAAATCATTTCTCCATGTTAACCTCTCCAAACAGCTTATATCCCTTCATAAAACCTGTACTTCTCAAATGCCACTTCCACATTCTTGTTATTATTTGATCAAACCACTCCCTATTAAATCAAACATATATTTTCCATTAACAAGCAGATTTTTACAAAGATACAGTGTTCAGCTAATAATTCCTCTCTTCTCCCCTACTTGTCTAAAAGGGGATTCTTAACAGATGCTTATCTTCAACAGTCACAAGCTCTACTTTTCTTTCATCACCTTGCTGTATGCCTCATCTCTCCTTTCCTACTCTAAAACTTTTCACAATGCAGTCCAACATAGTCACATTGTGACTGCGTCTGAAATGAAACTGTCCATGTCAGTGTCACCTTCAGGAAGCACAACCTGCTGTATTAAGAGCATGACAGCTCAATTAATCATTTCCCAAACAGATCACAGCTACTGTTCAACCATTTGGTTTAGTTTCTCAGTATAGCAGAAACAGAGAGGTGGAAGCATCTACTCAGGAGATGGCTTTCTGACAAGTGCAGAAATACTAGGACCTTTTTTCAGAATATCCAAAATTAATGTCACTGTCACTTTTTACCACCTCCATTCTTAAAAAAATTTCAAATCTAGAAGCTGTGCATGGAATTAAATTCCCCACAAGTAAGTCAACACATAAAAATGTTTCCAATAACTTCCAGCAGCACCAATTGCATAAATCCAACACCCCTCACTTGTTGCACACCATCAGCCTTGTTGTACCACACCTACCTTCTATGTAAGACGAACACGATACAGGATCACTAGTTGATCGGACAATATTTGAAAGGCGGTGTTTTGTAACATGATGCTGCTGAACAGTACTCTCAGAACTGCTTGCATATGATGAAGTATTTGCAGGCCCAAAACAGGAAGCGGTGTGGGAAGGGACAGAAGGCTGGCTAAAGACCCCACAGCAGATTTTCATTTGTTTCAAATGTAATGAGACACTGCCTTCTTGAGCAGTACTCTGCAGTTCTCTTTCTGAGGGGTTGAAATTTTCTGAGGAACAGTCTGAGGACCTGCCGTGGGCACTGTTTTCATTTTCCTGTCCTTGAGACTTGTCCATAGAGACTCTGCTGTGCAAACTGACATCCTCATCAGGAAAACCTTCTGAGCGAGTTCTGTGAAACCTGCAGCGGGTGCTGTAGTCCAGACTGCTGCAGCTCCGCCCTGTAGCCCCTTTGCAGTTTGTACAGGAGGGAGAAAAATCTGAAGAACGGAGAGATTCTTGAACTTCCAGCGAACAAAGATCTTCAGAGGAGCAGCTATGGTCTGGGATTTCAGCAGTTTCAGAGGTCATCAACGAGGTGCTCTCAACAGAAACTGCAAAAGAGGAGATCCAGAGAAAAATAAAGGCTTCAATCCTCTTTCTCCCCCCCATTTCATCATATAGATGTTATCAATGAAAATGTCCTCTTGTCCAAGTAAGTATTTGGCTCTGCATTATTCCCAAATTTGTGACATCTACTTTTTAATTTTAATATTATATCAAAAACGTGTCATGTGCACTGCTCAAGCTGCAGTAGTTGACTGGATTACTTATATTTGTGATAGGTCCCCCCAATTTTTTTTAACCTATTGACGTTATTTTTTTTCAACATATTCTATTTAGCTAAGACAGAGTTCAAAATGCCCTCCACATCAACAAACACGTTAAGGAGACCTCTTCAAGAAGCTCTTAAACCTGCTCTGTGCCGCTACTCAGATAAGTCATTTGTATCTGTTCTTCAGGCAGCAGGTTTCTTGTCCTGGCTTCTAGAAGCCATGCAGGAGGAAGCTATGTGGACCATATGACCAGCACCCCTCACTCCTGACAATAAGAAGCAAACTGCTGGTTATATGCATGATTCTTCAAAAAGAAATGACAGTTGCTGTATCTGCCTCAGAGGCTTTAATCAAAGTGAGTACATTTCCAGGGTAGCTATAGAGCACACTTTGTTAAAAATGACTCTTCTTTGATTTCCTCTGTGTTTCCAGCCGTATCTGTTTATGGCTAGGAAAAGGTTCTTGCATGAATAATCTGGAAGCAAATCCTTCTTTCTCCACTGGGAATGACAGAAGAGAAGGAAAAGTCCAGTCAGAAATCTAGTGCTCTCTCTCTTTCAATAATGCTATGATTACCTTGTGTGCTGAAGCCCAGGGTCACATTCCTCTCACCCAAGCTTGATTCAGATACTTGCTGATCAGTACCAGTGACCTAAATGAAAATTGTTTAATGAAACAGCACATCATCTGCAGTTTACCAAAATGATGTACAGCACTAATAATCTAAACAGTACATCTGGCAGCGTGAAATACCTACCTGTTGCTATTCAGATTGAAAAATAATTAGAGTATTTTACAACATCTTTGTGTCAGGAACAAACCCAGTGCAAAAGAACACACATGAAGGAATTTTTCACTTTTCTAGAGTCTTACAGGCTAAATTCATCTAGAATAAATATGCAGCTGGGGTTGCAGGCCCACATTACCAAACACTTGTTTGCAGTGCTTAAAACTAATGATGTTATTAGGAGCAAACTCAATACTGTGCATTTTTCCACATTATGGTTTTTTTCCCAGACATGACACCACACTGTATCACCCTAAAACAGGATGGAGAATAACAACGATAAAAGCAAGCATAGAAGATTTATTTTTCTCTAATTATTTTACAAGATGCTAACATCCACCATATTTCTAAGCCCTCTAAAAACACTTGACCAAGTTTGGCAAGATAGGCTGCTCTCCAGCCTATCAGAGATTGCTTTTAGAGTCATCTTTTTCATAAAGGATAGATCTAAGAGAGTAACTTCCCTTCACTTATGAGAATTATGTGAAGAAACCCCAGAACCGGCCCTGCTGGTCCATACATTCAATCCACAAACAACTAAAATTTACAAAATTTTCTTTCTACTGATTTTAACAGTACCTTGCTGCCCAACCTCATTAGATTTTCAGCAGTTCTTTGTGATCATGATTGGTATTAGGAAAAGAAAAAAGGTTCCAATAAACAGCTCACAACTACCTATGAAAAATATCCAAAGACAAAAAAATGTGACTGAGACATTGATAACCACCTTTTGTAGAAAGCATCTGATCTACTTCTGTAAGGCCATAATTAACTAGTAAAAGCTCATTACTGATGATTACATACTTAAGAAATAACCATCAATCACTTCTTTGAAAACCTTTTAGTCAAGAGCTAAATTTGTATCTGGCCTTCTAAAAAATTGAATGTGACACTATCACTCTGAACCTATTAAGAAAAGAGCTTCCAAGGCACATGCCAATATAGATCAGTGTGTATATACACACCTAAATTACTATGCCCACTCTGTTTTATATATGTATCTATCCATACCTTACTATGATCAAGTGATCAAAAAAACCACTTTCCCAATACAATTTTAAAAACAGATTCTAAGGGTTTGCAAATCTAATTTTTTTTAAAAAGTACCAGAAACCTTCTACCTTACCACTACATGGATAGGAGATATGGAAACAAAGAACAGCCAAGATTAGTCATGTTTTTAAAAATATGCTTGCAAATTTCTTTGTGGTATTTCTTCATTGAAGCAAATTTATATGTGGTAAAAAAAAATCTGTGGTGTCATTCTAAGTTACAAACCACTTCTGGGAACTCACAGTGGAAGTGTTCTCCCTGCTGCCTCAATCCAGCACAACAGTTTCATGTATGCATAGTCTTTAGAAAAAAAATATTATTTTTTCACTGTAGTGGCATTTTAGAAATGTTCTGTTGCTTGTGCTGAAATAACAGCCTTCATCAACTAGGAGATTTGCAATAAGTTTACTGTCAAAAATGGAAATTGCAGTTTTATTTTCAGATCACAAAATGCAAGAGCGACTTTACAGAAGCAAATGCAAGCTTGTGAAAAGAATGTTAAGTTTGGGAAATGTTTTGTCCAAAGCAAGAAATGCTCTTTGGTGCTGGACAAAATTTGATCAGAAAATAAATATATTTAATTTCTCTAACTAGATTTCTAATGAAATAATTTTTTCAAGGTGTTTGGTATTTGTTTGCATGCGTCATAAATTCTTAACCACTGAAAAAATAATACTGCACACAAGAATCTAAGGAGGTTAAACAAAGCCAAGTGTGATGGGTTGCATGTGTGGGATGAGGCAATCCCAAATACAAGTACAGGCTGGGAAAAGAACTCATTGAGAGCAGTTCAGCAGAGAAGGACTTAGGGGTCCTGACTGATGAGAAGCTGAACACAAGCCAGCAGTGTGCTTTTGTAGCCCAGAAGGCCAATGATATCCTGGGCTGCGTCAAAGGAGGAGTGACATCAGGGAGAGGAAGGGGATTGTCGTTAATGATGATGACTTTTAAGACTCCCTCCAACCTAAGCCATTCTATGAGTCTATGCTAATACCTGCTGAGTAGCTGTGCTGAAATGTTTACTGACCTCCTACACTCTCTCAGTCACCTGGCAGATGCAGTGACATTGCCTAGCACTAGATGTGGTCTAGTAACTATAAAATCAGCTGTGCAAAGTTGAGGTTTTGGCATATCTCTCCTAGAGAAAAAGAACTATCTGTAGCTTTGATCTAGTAAATCTAAAGTAATCCCCAAATACACTTTATATGCATTCCAAATTGATTAATCTTCTTGCTTGAGCAAAGGAGAATCACGGTTTTAACTGTAGGAAGTAACAGTGGCTAATTTTAGTTAGGTCACAGTTGCATAAAGATGGCAGGTGGGCTTACAGTTTCCTGCACCGCCTAGAGTAACAAAGATCAACTTGCACATCCTCAGACATAATGACTGGCAAATTGTCACTAAGTTAACAACAGAAAAAAAGTGAGAAAAAACATGCTCTAAGCAAACCTCTAAACAGCCTATAATCTAGTAAAGCTTACAAAATAGTCACTGGTACAATTCATCCAAAACCTTAATCTGTCTGTTCTGTACTACATCCTCGTCAATTCTTCCCATGGAAAATTGTTTAGAAAGCTTTTTTTTTCATGGTTATAAAACCAGAATTCCTAATCAGTCCAGATGACAACAGCAATTTTTGTTTAGATGCAACTGGTTAAATTAGCATTGACATTTATTGTGCATGAAATGCATGAGTACTGAATCTAATTTGATAGAATTTAATAAAACTCTCGGGAGTTCAATCCATCTAAAAACAAACAAAATCTATTGCTTGATGATCAGTAAGAGATTAATAACTATTGTCGCATAATGGCTCCCAGAAGCACTTCTGTAGCTAAAGCTCTGCTATGATTACCATTGCAAAGTCTGCCTAAGGGATTTATAAATCTAGTCATTTCAGTTCAGTTTCTCCTGTGGCTTGATGTATACTAGATGGGAACATTTGTACCACATAAGCATTTAGGATTACATTTGATTCGTCTTGAAGACCTAAAACTGTCTTAGACTCTGGCTCTATTCCTTCATTTACAGATTGATTGGGACGCTGTCTGCAAAAAATGTTAGAACTTATGCCATCAAGAGAAGCATACAAATACAAAGTACAAAGTTGCTGTGCAGGCTTTAGTTAGCAATGCCAATATATCTCACTCTTATACTAAGTTCCTGTTCTTACTTTGCTCCTACAAGCCACCCTAACGAGCCACTACCAGGCATAAATACACTTACTGTGTATTTACCACCACTTAGAAATTTAAAATCACCAGACCTTACCATTGTGTGATAAACACCTCTGAAACTCAGGTAGCCCCAGATGAATAGGTGAGGCATTGACATGGACCCCAGACACCAAAAAATAGAATACATCTTCATATCAAATCTGGTGCTCTCCTACAGCAAGAACATGACTTTGCTACTTCAAATTAGTTCATTCAACTTTTGTCACATGCTAATGTTATTGTGCTGTTGGACGTTGAAGCACATGTGAAGTGGAATCTCAATTACAAAAGTGCCCAAAGCAATTTTGTGCTCAAGTATAGACCCTTCTTAAAACCTTAGTGAGCACCACATATAACTTCTTTTCACACATACGATTCTTCTCTTCCCCTCAATTCATCTGTAATTCATACCATTTCTACCAATTTTTTTAATTCATTTCTGAAAAACATCAGCTCCTCCAGGACATGCAGGTTCCTCTGACTTACTGCAAAGTCAAAACAATGGAACACTGATAAAACACATTTTGGCCTTGGAAACTCCAATTTTGCTGTTCAGCAAAACCCTTGAAAGCAGCTTATATAGGTTCATTTTATGTAAGCTTGTCTATTTTAACAGACAGTGGAGGGCAGGATAGAACAAAAGAAATGAAGAGGTTATCAGAAGCTGCTTTGTCAGTGAAAGAAGTAGCAAAATTAGGCTAGAGCTTTTAAAATTGTACTCTGGTCAGGAACTGTGCAAATAAACTTTTTTTTTTTCCTCAGACACTTTGTGAATAGTTTTACTAATCTTTTGGCATGTAACTGTATTGGTTTTCTTTGCTGTTGTTCGTTTGTTTTTGTGCTTTCTGCTGTGGTGGGTTTCCCCAGCGTGAAAAAACCACTAGCAACTTCTTCAATTATATATTTTGGGGAAATGCCACTAATGTCCAGTAAGCAACATCAAGATTGTTTGACTCTTTGAGTTTTTAGTGCATTCTGCCATAAATTAGAGTTTATAAAAACAAATATAATTATTTAGAAGGCCATTCTAGACTATTCAATTATGACAAGTCACTTGAAAGAAGACTTTGCTCAAATTAACTTTGGTTGCACGTAGATACATTACAATTCTAGTTTCACTAGAGCTGACACTGTATAGTAAAACACAAGGCAAAACGTATAATGCAAGTATTTGTCTGAAATACAATGGATCCTTTCTCACAGTTCCAATAAAGCCGTTACATATAATATATAAGGAATATTTAGATTTTTTTCACTGATATTTCACACCAGGAAAATCTGGAGACTATGTAGTAAATTCCCTTCAGCTTGCCTTACCTGACTGGCAGGTGTTTCTCCAATCACTGCCTCATAAGGAGGTGGCAGCTCAGTTGGATACAGCATTCCTGGGCTGTTAATGGTGACTTCATATAAAGCACTGAATGGGGAATGAGGAAATTCCAAATGGAGATTTCTGCTTAAAAACATAAACAAGGAAACTTAACTATTAGGGAATTACATTACATCTATTTGGCATACTAATATCTGTACCACAATGACGTAGAGCTTTCTCTGAATTCAAAGCCAATATAGTACAAAGAATCAACTGAAGCAATTTATAAGACAGCCAAAACGAAACCTTTATTCACCTCTTAGCATTAAAAACTGTTTCATTTTGGATACCAGTCATCTGTCCTAGTCCATTTGTGTCACTAATGCCTTTCATTACTCCAAAATAATGCATATACAGAGCAATGATTTCCTTAGAAAATTAAATCTCTCATTCAACCTCGAGTGTACAATGTTAACTGTAAAAGGATTACCTATAAGCTCATTTTGCTTTAAGTTATCCTTGTCTGTTTGTTGTTATCCTTGTCTTTGCTAAGTTCAATCACTTCCCTATCACAACAGTGCTTTAACAAAAATATTTCCACATGTATTCTAACAAGTTTGCAAAATATGTACATAATCTCTCAGGAAAAGAAGCAGCTAATGTAAGTGAAAGGCATTACTTTCCTTCGTTTTTTTTTTTTTGAAAGAGTTTCATAGTCTGTAGCTAAGAACTATGGAATAACTAACTACAGGTAAGAAGAATCACCTCTGTGCCTCTACCACAGGTGTGCAGGTATATTCCGGTGGGTAGTAGGGTGGAGGTGGTATTGGTGGGATGAACTCATCAAAATCCAAAGTTTGATGCAGAACTGTCCCATGTGGAGTCATGCAGTCTGCATTGGCAGAATGTGGCCGCTGTGGCAGAAACTGAAAATGAATAGGTAAAGTTCCTTCAGATGGTAGGAAAATAAAACTATTTCCAATAGTAAGAATTGTAATGAAAGGCCAATTTTAGCAACTCTACTCAATTCTATTTCATGAATATCCATACAGAAATGGTAGACACTTCTGGAAGCAAAAACGTATGTGAGCTCTGCAAGGAATGAGAGTCAAATTACTAAAATATAAAGCAAGGTTATACCAAAGACAAAGAGATATATCTACCTCAAAGACAATTACTCCTAGGGTGGAAAACACAGGTATATTTCAATTTAAATAACATTTCAAGAACCAATTCTATCTTGTAGTACAATTTTATTATAACGCTACACAGCCAGCTGTATTTTAATAATTAACAGTAAATAGAACTAGTAAAATAACTATTTGCATAGTTTTGCTTCTAATCTGAAAAGCCTTGTGCTTAATACCAAACAAACCTTCAAATAAAAGAAACTAGAAATTTGCAGGTATATATTTATTTGATTTTGACTATGGCCACTCTACTTTTCACTAAAAAAAGCAGCAGTTAGAACTGTTCTTTATTATAGTTACAAAATATTCAGAATAAACATTTATAGTTTGGTGATATAGACAGAGAACACATGCTAAATAAAGGTTTAAAATACTGGTATGAACATAAGCAAAACATTTATTCTACCCAAACATATCAGAACTAGAAAAAAACAAACAAACAACATAATGAATAATGGGAAGTGATAACACTGTGGAGTACTGTCAATGTTTGTGATAAGAAACTAATCAGCTTCTAGCATGGCACTGATATCAAGACCTTTCTGAGACTGACAGTAGGAAGTTAAAAAAAAAAAAAAACGTTCTATCAAAGTCTTAAACTACTTCAAGATCAAATACAGACCATTCTGCAGATCATGTGGAACCCAGAGGCCTTGGCCTGGCTTCATACGGTTGCCATGGAGAAAGGGGGATTAACAATAAAAAATGATAGATTTCTACCTTCTTCAGACAAGATGCTGTTTTTGCTGTCATGCCACTATTTTGTATCAGCAGGTAACCTGGTGTTCAACTCCTGCCTTTTAAAATCAGTGAGGTAAGAAAACTGGCTAGAGGCACATTTCTCTTTGAATGCTGAAATTTGTGAACTGTTGTCTCATTACATCATTACTACTTTTCAGATAAATGAAAAAGCATTTCTATAAAAATGAAAATACTAATGCTTTAGAGATCCCATAAAGAATAATTTGTTTCATTTTTAATGTCAGTTTTATATTTTTTTCACCTTTCCAGAAAAATTCTCATTGTCAGTTATTCTTACTTAATACTACCGTACAAGTGATGTTCTCTTTGGTATTTAGAAGGCTGAGCTACATTGTATTTCCACCAAACATGATCTTTTCACGTTGCTTCAAAGGTTGTATTTTTAATAATGCAACAAAACAGAGGGCTGGAAAGGACCTATTTCAGTTGCTTTGGAAAATGAACTAGTTAGCTGCTTCATAATTGGATCTCCAGAGGCATTTTCACAATTACTAAATAAAGAACTTCCTCTGCAGAACACTTTATATTATGTCCAATAACCAATGACTTTCAGACATTGTAGTCTACTAATGTTACAGCAATAAGAGACATCTACTTCATTCACTCCTCCATTACGTAACATGTCTAATGCTCTTAAGCCCATGAGATGTGATACTGTTGTTTTGAGTATAACCAGACACTTCTACAGGTTTGTCATACAGAAAAAAGAAATATTTTATAGTAATTCAGTTTAAATTCACCTGATCTTTCTACATCTGTTTCCCAAACTCTAACCTTCCACTAACTGATGAACACCAAACCTATGTGGTACGATCATCAGTTTGTTATCACATGAACACATAACACTGAAGAATCTGATAGGAAAAAAGGAAACAAACAAACATAAAGATGAAATACTGATCTACTGCCAGCAAAGCAAAACAAAACAAACTAACAAAAAACCCTAAAAGTCTCTTCCAGAAAATAAAAAAAAAAATACTTAATGACCTAAATCTTAGAAAAATTTATCACAGAATGGCCAGGGTTGGAAGGGACCTCAAGGATCATGAATCTCCAACCCCCCTGCCACATGCAGGGCCACCAATCTCCCCATTTAATGCTAGACCAGGCTGCCCAGGGCCCCATCCAATCTGGCCTTGAACGCCTCCAGAGATGGGGCATCCACAACCTCTCTGGACAGCTGTTCCAGCACCTCACCGCTCTCTCTGTAAAGAATTTCCCCCTGACGTCCAACCTGAATCTCCTCTCCCTCAA